TTACATTTGAAGACGTGGCACCCTTCGAAGTGCAGGCGAGAGCTACGGAACTGGTGGCACAGACAGGACGAGAGGAAGCGAGGGATGGAGTGCTGAAGACCAGTAAGGTCACCAGGTGGGAAGAAAGTTATCCACCCTAAGTGAGGTCACCTCTATTTCCATCTAGAGACGGGAGTGGAAGCGCCAGGATGGCGGAAAGGCCTTCAATCGGGACGCTCTCCTCACTGACATCATGCGAACACGACTCGCGCATTTGAAACACGTGGAGGGTTTCTCCTATGAGTCTTGAAGCCATCTCCAGACTGTCACCAGTAGCTGTGCCATCATCACGGTTATCGACTAGAAATGAGCACCAAAGTATAGCATCACTCTGTACATATTACTATGGCCTTGGAACTGCTTCTTTCTTTTATTCATTGTTGCTTAATTTCGTTTGCCTCTCTTGCTCTCACGCCTCTTCTTCATCTTTGACATGCCCTTTTGCATGGGAACGCGAATAAACTCGAGTTCTATCTATTTTGCGATTTCTCCTCTTGTCTGGTGCACGTCGAGCACCACATCGACTGTGCCAAGCATTCACCGCTTCGCGTTCAGTGGAGACGGGTCAACGTAGCGAGGAGCGCCACTCATTCACCACCACATCCACAAGTCAAGAAAAGGAAGACAGGTGACACAGTAAAACAGCTACAATCTAATCTACGAAAATACGCTAAAATCACATCCAATCTCTACATCACAGTTGTACACGGCCGCGTCAAAATATAAAAATAAATAAACAAATAGTTTGGCTTACAATGAGACGGATAGGAAAACACTTAGGACACGGGGAATGAAATTGTTGGAGGAGGTCCTGATGACACTGCAACAACTCGATTTGTGCGTCTTCACAATGGAGGGGGAGGTAGTGGGGAAAGGAGGAGGGGAGAGAGAGGATTAGCAACCGACACAGTGGAGGGGGGAGGGGGGAAGACTACACAGATGTCCATCAACGTCGAGGTAGAGTAAGCGAAAGGGGTCGTGATGTCAAGCGATCGCGCCAAGACATTGCGAGCTCACCCACCTCGGTTAAGTCGCTAGCCTTATGCGACGCCAGGCAACGCCAGCGACGGCTACTGCAGGTCTTCGCCCTCGGTTTTTGATAGCCTTCCAAGCAGCCTTTTCTTTTCAGCAATCGCTGCGACCAACGCCTTAAGGAAAATTTCAAAATGGCCAATCATGCAACCTGACCCATTGCAAATGAGGGGGAAAGCAGTTATAGCAACAGAAGCGCGACGAAATGGGTGACGTCGCATATCATGATGGGGAGACAGCAACTTTGGCTAGAGGAGGAGAGCACACACCTGGAACACCTCTGTTCTATGCACCGCATCTGGCATAACCTGTCCCGCTCTTTGCACCAAACATGTGCACCGCATCTCGAGGTACTGCATAAACCCTTTCACTTCAAAAGGGACAATACACACACAC